TTTCTTTTTCTTTCTCTCTCGTGTGATAATTTGACAAAAGGGTACGGGATGTTTTCGATTAATTATCACCAAAAAAAAAAAAAAAAATTTAATAAAACTAATTTTTGCATTAAAATAAGGATAATTATATAAATAAAAAAATAACGTATTTTAAAATTGCGTGTAAATGGATAAAAAATATATAGACTACAACTTTTTAAAATTACATTTAATAAACAAATACTCTCATTGACCAGATATTTTTAAGCGGGCCAAGTTATTGTTTGAATTGTGGCTTATATGTACTGTAGAAATAGCATATTGTTAAAAAATATACAACCACCACCTAAAATTTATGTAGATTGTAACACAACAAAGAGATGAATTACTACTTACCCAAAAAAAAAGAGATGAACTACTCCAGAAAGCAATGAACAAATATAACAAATATCTTTTATAAAATTGACTCTAACAAGTTTTTTATTTTTTTGGTAAGTAGTTTAAAATATAATAAGAAAACTAATCACAAAAAGCACAAGACTTACCTACCCACCGGTGGGTAGGATATCTATATTCATCACGTATGTAGTGTAAGACTAAACTAACAAATATCCTTACATTTAAAATAATAAAAAATAAATAATTTGGTAACTATCTGAGTTAAACCCAAATGAATCCGAATCAAATTCTAATTCTCTCTCCTCTCCTCTCTTCTTTGTCAAGCACGCCTATGAAACCCCTAATCTCATTCGTTCACTCCCTCTCCCTTTCATATTTTTTAGAGAGACAAACTCGTGTTTTGGAGAACTGGAAGAAGAAGAAGAGAAGAAGATGCAAAGGTTGAAATAGAAGACAAAGAATTGTTGAGCTAAGTAAATTCATTCTCTTGGATTAGGGAGTTGTAACTCATAGCCAGATTGGGAGTTACACATGAAGAAGTACGATCGAACTCCCAAGTGAATGATGAAAGATCTCTCATGGTTCGCAAATTTAATCAATCATTGTCCATAATGACCAATCAAATTGCATGTATGTTGTAAGAATTAAACAATTTTTAAAAAATGCATGATCTTTGTTTCTTGATTTTGTCATGTTCTTTTTGAGTTGGGGTTTTTTCTTGAAGTCTTTGTCAAAAGGATATACAACTTGGCTGGAGGAGAAATCAGATCAAGGGGTTAGTGATCAATCACTCTGTTATCTTTTTAGTAAAGATATTTGATTTATAACTTTTTTGGACATGCTCTAAAAAAAATATGAGGGGAGGGAGACGAGTTAGGTTAGGGCTTCCACATAATAAAAATTCAGAAAGAAAAGAGCAAAAAGAATTAGAATTTGATTTGAATTTATTTAGTGAGTAGACAAATATTATCTTTACAAAAATGCATGGGGATTCTTCATGGCCCAAACAACTAGGCCGTTGAATTCATGTTGTATTTCTTAAATTCAAAAATAAAAAATTAAGTTGTCTAATGAAGTTACATCACTTACATAATTTATATTAGAGATTTTATCCTCTTTTATGTAAGTTTTTGTTCTTCAGTTGGGTGTTGAAATCAGCCAAATTCATGTGGTGAGATGTATATATTATATATATGGAGCTCACACCAAATTTTTTTGCGGCGTCAAAAAAAAAAATTCACTTATGCAAGCGGTTTAATATATTATGGTTTTTATTGGTTGAATCCTTGATTGTCAGGATTCAGGGAAGTTATGGTAAAATATTTAAAATACAAGAAATTGAAAATTTCTTAGTTCAAGTAAGCATGGTAGAGCTATTTACAGTCTGTTTGGTTTTAAAACTCTAAAAACAACTTTTTTTCTGAACACAAAACAACTTTCAAACCACTATAAAAGACTAATTAAAAAACATGGATTTTTTTTTAAAATTTAGTTTTAATAAAACATATTTCAGAAAACTATTAGTCAATTAGATCTCAGTATTGTTTTAATAAAGTAATTCTGTCATTAAGGACGAATCTAGGATTTCTGAATGGAGTGGGCTAATTTTGGATTGGGCTAATTTGGGAGTGGGCAAATATTACTATTTTTTTTTTTTGGGCTTGGGTTAAAAGTAATATAGCAAAAAAAAAAAATTGAGTGGGCACCCACCCCTCCCTCCGCCCTTGTCTGTCAGGAGAACTCACTCATGCCAATAACCATAAGGTCTCCATAATTAACTAATTCATTTGATACTTTCAAATATCTCAAAAGAAATCTGTCTGGATCATGCAATTAAATGTGAAGAGTACATACATCTTGTCATGAGAAAACTTTCTCACTAATATTAATCTAACAAGAATCACATTGACTAACAAGTCTACGACCCATTAATGAGTTGCGTGAAAGACGGGTTAGATATACATCTAATATTTGACCTCATTGGTATAAAGTGATTGTTGTTAGGCTCGAATTTACATTTCTAACTACTTTCACAAACAAGATATGGTCATAAAACAACTGATTTCTCATATTGAGCAACAAAATTCCTTTCGGTGGATGCAGCCAAACCTAACCCTAATTTCACCAACAGCAGGCAGCACCATGTGATGTTAATTTAGATTTTATGAAGGAATGAATGTATTAAAGAGTGGTCTTTATATGGAATTACAAACACAGTTGCACAGTGTTGTTTTGGTGAAGGAAGAAGACAACCATGGCCATTGTTGTACCTTTGCAGCATAGACTTGTAGGCCTACTTCATCATGCATGTGATGGTTCATTCCTTTAACCTGGCTAAAGGACATTATTAGGTCAAAAGAGTTTCTTAATCAAACAGTTTGAACATCAATTATTGTGATACATATTTCCACATCAAGGCTAAACGACATCTTTAGTTTTGTTGTTGTTTTCTTTTTCTTTTCTTTCCTTCTATGTGATTTTTTCAAAAAAAATTTAATATTGGCTAGACAATATGCTACCGACTTACAATTTCGGTGAAAATATACCATTAAAATACAACTTAAGTCACACAATGCTTTTATATAAGTGTTGCTCTCACGCTTCCACTCCTCTCACTTTGTGTGACTTAGGCTTCGTTTGGCATGCGTTTTGTTTTTGCTATTTTTGTTTTTGGGTTGCTACATTGTCAATTTTGGCAACAAAAGTATGTTTGGTGTGGCCTTGTTTTATTTGATATAGTGTTAAAACACTTCGTGAACAGTGACCCAAAACCAAAATACTAAAAAGTTATTTTTTGCTTATTTTTTACAACTATTCATGACCCAAAACCACAACAGTAGTGCAACATGGGGTTTAAGTTTCCACAGCAAAACATCATCCCCAAACATGCTTTCGATTTTTTTCCAAAATATTCCTACAACAAAAATATTATTTCTGTTTTAACCAAAAAATAAAGCGCATACTAAATGACTTAAATAAAACCTTTAGTCAACTATTATGGTTCTTGAGGGTGGTAAAGTTAAATTAAACGTGAAAGCATTCGTTCGTTTATACAAACTTGTATGTAAAGAAAAGGATTTCAATGTGGCAAAAAGAAGAGGATGGTGACAATTAGCACAAAAATAAAAGATGGATTGAAAAAAGAACTACAAGATATGCAAGCTCTAACAATGAAATTAGCATGCGAAGAAAATTTGGATATAATGAAATTTTGTTAGCATGAAACAAAGGGAAAGAAAAATAAATAATAATTAATAAATAAATCAACAAATAAGTAAGATGAAGTCGGAAAAATATGAAAGATAAACGGACAAAATAGTTGAAGCAACTTTATGAAGTATTAAGATCAAATTCTCAATGTTCACACTAATCTATTATGGGCCACTTTACCGAAATCAAAATCAAATTCGGGAATGAGTTCTTAGGGCCTGTTTAGTAAAAATTGTTTTGTTTTACACAATACTGAAACGTTTCGTGAATAATTGTCAAAAATCAAAATATTAATTTAGTATTTTTATATATTTTCACACTGTTAACATCTATAATGTAGCGATGAAAAGTAAATTTTTTATTTTTTTATTTAAAAAACTCTTAAATGACATTTTTAAACTTACCATTATATTTTTCAAACTTGTAACATTTTTTTACCAAACATGTTTTCATGTTTTTGTTTTAAAAAATCTTGCAACAAATGGACGTTACTAAACATGCTTCCGATTACTATTTAAAACACTCTTGCAACAAAACACTTGTTTAACCAATAGGTCAGTAGCCTAGCGGTACGAAGTCTCTACGTACTAACTAAGGAAAAAAAAAAAAAAAACCCTTGTTTAATAAAACGCATACCAAACAATACATATAGAGTGAAGTAAATTAATGTAGTTCGTCGAGCCCAGACAAAAACCCCATTCTCAGTCTAAGACGGCCCAACAATTATAAGACGGCCCAACAATCAATATCCACTAGCTTTGCTTGTGATTCGTGTCATATTTTGGTCATGTTCATGTCATATTCCATCATTAAGGGCTTCAAATTTGCATTTTCAATGCTATAAAATGACTATGGATTTTTTGCAGAATTTTTGTTAGAGGTGACAATGCCAATTTTGACTTTTATTGCCTGTGAGCTGATTATTTCTTGGATTTGTGGACAAAAGTTGCATGGTCTGTTTGGGATTTTAGGTTTTGTAGAAGTTGAATGAAAGGAGAAAGAAAAGTGTTAGGGCTTGAGCCTTCGATCAAGCATGAAAACAAAATAAATAAATAACAAACAAACAAATTCATGCGTGTGTTTCTTGGCGGAAGATTGTGTTTCTTCTGTGGGCTAGGCTAGGGTTTGATTGGTAGAAAGAAGAAAAAGGTTTTGGTATTTCAAATTGGGGTTCAAAAACTAAAATTCAATATAGACACTTCACAACCACAACTCATGTTTGTTTAAATTGCCAGCAACTCCAAAAATACAAGCATATACAAAATTAAATTAACACTAATGACTTAGAAAATTAAACTAATTTAAAAACTTAGTGAACCCTGCAACATTTATGTACCATATCAGAACTTAGACCAGAAGCATTTCTTTTTTCATGCATTTTGTACAAGTTCATATGTCAAACTCCAGCTCGATCCCATACGAAGAAACTCATATAATACATGCATAATGTAAAATCAGCACATACTATGACAACCATTTTTCAGTCGCATAGATCACCAACAGCGCGTTTGAACTGCCATTCATTACAACACACATGATTTATGCATAACTTTGAGTGCAATATATCACGACGGTAAAGTGCAGAGAAGATGATATCAAAGCAATGAACATTCGAAGATTACTGATTTACCAGAGCCAGATTCACAATGGTACAACGGGATCATCCAGCTAGTTGGTTGTGTATCTCTGTTGTTCTACTTGGTGCTGTTTCGTCAAAGCTGATCTTTGCAACTCAATATCATAAAATACAAACAGCATTACATCATTAACTGGTAGTAATCGAAACATTATTTCTCCAATTACTTCTCCTTGGCTTGCTTCCGGCTTGCTACATTATGGAAAGCATCTCATCCTCTGCAAAATTAAACGTGATGAGTCCGGCTCAAGAGAAATCATTAAATATTGTTTGAATTATATGAGACTAGAAACAAAATACCTGTCGTTCAATTTCCACAGCAGAAGCAGCAAGCCTTCTTTTCAAAATTGACTTCTCCTGATGACAAGTTTCCATCTCGGTATCTAGCAGCAAAATATTAAACCAATTACTTAAAAAGTAATCATTTCTTTTATAATGTACAAGGCCATTATATATTGCTGCTCCAGCCTACGTAGGCTGTTAGGAGGACGGACTAGAGATGAACCTAAATTTTGCCTTTTTTGAAAAAGTTGTGGTTTTCATAGGTTAACTCACAACCTCACGCTTATGAAATCGAACTCTTACCAATCCATCAAACAATAATCCATTTTTTCTTTTTATAATAAGGGTCATTATCCAGTGTGGTACCCGTTAACCAGGAGTTTCGGGAGGATGGACCGGATACAAACCTACCTTTGCCATTATTTGCACTAAGTGGCTGCTCTTTCCTTTTATAATATATTATTAACAATGTTCTCTTCCTCATTACAACAGTCCACTATAAGCCTCTAGACAACTAAAAAAATAGATACGCTACAACCATTACATCAAGAGTTCTCTTCCACGCCCAATTGCCCCTAGTGACAGTAGTGAGTTTGTATCCATAATGATTGGAAAAATGAACAATCTATTGGTGTATCAGCGTTATGTAAGTTCACTTAACTAATAGCCATCTGCTATCAGAACAGCAAAACAGTGAGTGGTACCCTTACAAGAGTTTCTAGAGACAGCAATACCCTTATGAATTTCGGAGGCCCGTTACTGCTTCTAAATCTTGTCAATAAATCTTATTAGTGCCTGAATTAACCACAACACCCCTCCCCCCCCCCCCCCCCCCCCCCCCCGGGGGGTAGCTGACAGCAACCAAAATGAGTAATTATTACTGTCATCCCACCAGACCCACCCAACACTTCTTCACCTAGACAAAGAAATAAGCATCTAAACCATTAAAGTGGAAAAATTCTACCAGTGAGGAAATTATATTTCATCAACTACTGAGCCAATTGTATTTTATTTTCAGATGATCATTCATCCCAAAAACTGGACATAATTTTCTCTTGGCTATGAAGAAGTATTCAAAAGACAACGCAATTCCAAAATTATGATTAGAATGTAAAACCTTAACTCATCACATGCTTGTATGATAGAATTGAGATGAGTCTATGACAACTAGAATGGCAGTACAAAAAATTTCTGCCCAAGGATTAAAAATAATTTTAGCCCAAGAAAAAAATTTCCAGAAACTATTTCAGTTATAAAATTTTGAAAAAGAGCAGAGCATTTAGAACAAAACACCAGAAACTAAAAAGGACAAGTATCAGCTTGATTCTCACCGTAATAGTATGATGACAGAATTGTGATGCGCTCGGTCGGCTGAAACAAAACAACAATCAGCTCAGTGCATAAACAGCTGCAACAGATGGATGAAATCCTAAAAGTAATTGTTAATTATTCAAACTTAGATAATATAAATATAGCAGCAGCATTGATTTCAATCAAAGAAAATCAGTTTGAACAAGGAGCACACTATTTGTCAAATGCAGCTCATGGGACATGGGAGCACAAACAGAAGAATACCATAGTCACTTATCTTAGGTTAGAATCACCCTCCTTGCAATTTGTCACAAACATATCACATCATGCATACTTCTGATGGTAATGATCATATGATTACACATGATAATGATTGATAGTACCCCACCCAATAAGGTGCTAAGCTCATTAGTAGAATGCAACGAGTGCAGGTTCTGCAGTAACTCATATGTTTTCAATATAAGTAGAGAATAAGGCTAAATAACCAAATGAGGCACTCTAGCAAAAACTATTATCATTAAAAGATACAAAGAAACATGTCAAACACTTAAAATCAACTTCTTGATTTCAAAAAAAAAAAAAAAAAAGAAAGAAAAATCAAGCAAAATCTCAGAGAAGAAATTAAAATAAAATAAAGCCTACACAAATAGAGAAAGGGAATAGGAAGTAGAGAGAGAAAAGTACAATTTCGTTGCCTAATTGTCTGACCAGTTTAGTTGAAAAGTTTACCTTTTGGTTATAAAATAAAATAAAAAAAGGGAACAAAACAGAGATAGAAAGAACAATGGGAAAAAAAAAAAAAATGAAGTCTCTCTTTGTTTTTGTCTCAGAATGGACAAAGAATAGGTGGAAAAATAGAATTCGTTCTCTTCCTTGTACTGAAAAAGAAAGAAGAAAAGAGAAATTAAGAAGAAAAAAATAAATGGAGGAAATTTTTGAAGTTTTGAACCATACCTTTAAAATTCAGAGTTTGATCTTCTCTACATTTGACATTCAGTTCTTTGGTTTTTGATTTTTAATTTAAATTTTGTAATGTAATTAGGCTAAAGTGTTGGACTTTATGTATAAAAAAATTAAATTTATTAGTCCAAAATTAATTGTAGGCCCAACTAATCCGGAAGAATAACAAAATAAAAGGATTTAGTAGATTCAGTAGGATCGTGTGATCCTGTGCGATTCTGCGATCCTACTTCCGATTTTACAGATCCTACTGAGATTCTACTTCCTAGCGATTTTGGATGGGATTAGGATCGGGATCGGTTTGGCAATTTGGGATTCATAAGATTCTAAGATCCAAAATAGGGATTTTTAACAACTATATTTAATATTTAAAGTCGTATGATAAGGAGGAAGATTAAGTATAGACAATGACAAAAAAAAAAGGCACAAGTTTTAAGAGATGAACCCAAAGTGATGAAATTCTCCATTTTAGCAAAACAAATCATTCTAAATATGTTGCCAATGATTAACTGAAAGCATAACAGAAGTATACCATTACAAAGATCCCCTCGCGGCGAGTAGGGAGCTCCTCAAGCTTTTTCAAAGTCTCATCACCTTTGGTAACTTTTCCAAATATTGCATACTGAAGGGGTTTATGTCAGTGATTCATCAGGCATTCAGATGTTAGTCTGAAATAATCAATTGCAATGATGTTCAACAAGAATAAGTAAAGAACCTGGCCATCAAGATGAGGGGCATCTCCCAGAAGCATTGAGAATGAGGACGATGCACTGTTTGGATCAGCATACCTACACAAAGGGAGAGTCTTAAGTATTCCAAATCAAGATTTACAATTGTTAGATGAAGTAAATAGCATATTTCTAAAATCTTTAAACAATGGGAAAAAATACATGCACTATTGGAAAATAAATTTTAACTCTTTGTTTTCTTGTCAGTTTCCCCATTGAGTTGGTTTTAATTGGATTGTGTCCTGATTTTGCTTCTAGTTATGTCATTGTATGTTCAGCTTCTGTAACATCATATGAATGCATTTCAAGATATTTAACCAACCATGATCCTTGTTCATTGCACCAAATATGTCCCCACATGTAGTTAGAACAAATTGAAACTTAACTTAAAACTTGGTCATGGAGCAAATTAGCAAGCGCTAGAACTAATAAACTCAAAGAATGGCCTCAAAAAATACTTTACCTCCCCATAGAAAGAATACCCCTAACATGTTTGACATCACTAAATTCACCAACAACAGTTTTCTCAGCTTCCTCCCTCTGCTCTTCATTCATAGGAGCTTCTCTTCCACCTACAACATCTGCTACTTGAGCAACAAAGCCCTTATCAACCTGCATTCAGTTTACACTTATTTCACTGAATTCAAAATACTAAAACTATATTAAACGATCAACAAGTCCACATTAAACAATATACAAGTTCACACTCTACAAATTTACTGACTTACCCGAAAGAAATGATTGGTGTTATAGCCTCCCAAACGAACAAGTTTGAAAATGTGATCAACAGTATTGGGAGCTACAGTTGGATAGAAACCAAATTCAATATCTCCATAATTTGTCTGCATCATAAACATATCACACCACTCAAAACGTCACTGTTGTCGAAACACTAATATTAAGATACAAAACACTTTATAGATCCCATTCCGGGAAGGGGAAAAAAAAAACCACTTCATATATCCACATAAAATTTCAAATTTTGTTGGCCTCAAATTCAAATGACAGCTTATTATAGCTTAGAGAACTCAATCTTCAATAAAAATTCCCAAAGTTATAATAATGAAGTTTCTCAGTTTTCTTGAATTCATTATGAAGTTTCTCCAATTTTCTCGAATTCATCCCATGCATTTACATGATTCCAAATGACTCCATTATTATAACATTTTCGAATTGTCCCAAATAAGTGATGAAAATGAACAAAAAATTAGAGGCGAATAAGTAATATAGGGTAAATTGATTTTGAGTACCTCGGAGATAAAATATTTATAAATTTGAGATCTCATTAAATTAGTTGTCAAAATTACATTTTATGGAGTATTTACAAAATGAGATCCTTTTTTTTTTTTTTTTCCTAGATGGTACTCACACACGCATGCCTCTATGGAGATAAGGACCTGATTCCGCTAGGCCATTGGCCTGTTGGTCAAAATGAGATCTTTCACAGTTAGACATTCGAAAATGTTTCGTTATGCCCAGTGTTATCAAAGGCCCAAGCGGCAGTAAGGCACTAAAGGTCCATTAGAGCCTAGCACAAGGCACAAGGCGCAAGGCCGCACTCCTAAGTGAAGCAAGGCGCAAGGCCGCACTCCTGAGTGAAGCAAGGCGCAAGGCCGTGCTCAAGCAAGGCGCACAATTGAAAAACTAAATTATATTAAAGTATATTCATATTCCATATTAAAGGTGCAAATGGCGCACCTGGGCACACAACAAGTGTTGCGCCAGTATGAGCCTGGAGCCTAGGCGTGCCTTTAACAACACTAACTTATGCCCTTCAACCAAACATTTAAATTCCTAAATTTACAACTTTTTTTCCAAAAAGGATAAAAATAGTACTGAATTTAAATGGCCACCTATATAACTGTTAATGCTGAAATAAATTTAGATAGTGAAAAATTGGCATGTTTGACATGTCCTACTAATGATACTCTACTCTGCATGCAGAAATCCAAATAATAAAGTTGTTTAGATATGTTAGAATCATTTTCAACAAAAAGGGTAAATTTAGAAATTTAAATTAAAGGCTGAACATTGGTCATTTTCTAAATTTCAGTGGCGAGAAATCCACTGTATAAATAACTACAAATTTCAGTATTAAAAGATAATTACATTCCAATGAGATCTCAATATATAAATAGTTGATATTCATGTTACTCAAGAAAAATTACCCCTTTTTTATAATATCTTTATGCATTTTGCATATGCAACAGGAGTTACAACCAAATAAATGAATTCATATTGAATTGGCAACAAACACAGTATCCACACATAGATACATTGATATAAATTCAAATATATTCACACATAAACACACACACATAGGAGGAGAAGAATTTGAGAAAACGGTGAACCTGAAAAACAACGCGAGCCGATCCGAGTTGGGGCTCTTCGGCAAAGGCGCCAAACAAGGCCGAGCAGAGGATGCAACTGTATACGATCCAGATCGACACACCATTGCTTCTTCTCCACATCTCTGTTGACTCAATTTTCGCGCCTAATATTCCTATTGGATTTTGCTATTAACAGCAAAATGTGTATTCGATGATTCGATGCCCAGAAAATGTTTATGTATACTGGGAATTGTGTGTGTAAATATACTGTGTGCACAACAACATATACAATTTTTTTTGGGTCAATTTGTGGTCTGGGCCGGGCTGGGTTGGGCTCCAAAATAGAGAGGCTTTTTCTGTCAAATCTGTTCAACTCCTTTTTATGCTTGTAAACCTTAATCGAGTTTATGGCCCGACCCATATATGCCTTTCTGGGCTGGGCTAGCCCATTAAAATTGTAACATTGGATTGGATTTGTTTGGGAGAAGAGTAAGAAAGTGAAAGAAACAACGATCCAATCCTGGAGCATTGCAATCTTGCAGACCTAACATAGTTGGATGGTAGGACGGACTTTCGGTATTTGAACGAATCATATTCAGTATATCAAGAGTGGGTTCGAAATTCGAATTCCCTTCGCTAAGCAACTCCCCTACTTAAATCTCATCTGTATCATGAAGCAGTTGCAGTCTTGCAGACCTAACATAGTTGGATGATAGGACGGACTTTCGATGTTTGTACGAATCATATTCAGTATACCGAGAGTGGGTTTGAAATTCGAATTCCCTTCGCTAAGCAACTCCCCTGCTTAAATCTCATCTGTATCATGAAGCAAGTACGGGTGGGGGTCATTTAATGAGAAGACCTTTTTTAAATAAAATAAAATTTCGCAATCCTGGAAACCTGTATAGGAAGAAGGAACAAACCCAAATATGGTCATACAATCCAATCTTGGAAGCCCATCTAAAGAAAACCAAAAGTAGTCTTTGGGCCTTGGTGGTTGTTGTCGTCATGTTTTTTTTTTTTTTTTTTTTTTTTTTAAAACAATATATTTTGTCTTTCTTTTTTTGGTAAATGAAACAATATTGTTTTCCAGAGCATCTATTTAGTGTTTTTCACACTTTTGTTTTTGGTAAATGAAACAATATTGTTTTCTAGAGCATCTATTTAATGTTTTTCACACTTTTGGAAATAACCTACATAAAAAATAGGCTGAGCTGTGATTAGGGACCAATTAATTACACCTAGCTATATATTGTTCCATATTTCAATCATTTTCCTGTGGACTGGCAAAACTGTCTTTTTCCTTCAGCTTTTCATGTCCATGGCTAGGCCTGCAACACCACATATCTTCCCTTTACAAATTCATGATTACCAAACATGGTCTTAATTTAATTAGTTGTCACTTGGTAATTCAAATGGTACCATTATAACTCAAGTCCTCATCGTGAAGATGTACAATATTCTGACTATTTATATAGACCAATAACATATAAACACGATTTATTTTAATTATTAAATAAGAGATGGTGGGGTATATATTTACTTACCAAATCAGAGATATAATTACCATATTTTATTTGTTAATTAAATAAAGACGTATCAATTTAACATTGGTCGACATCTCCGGTCAAGACAGTGTACATCCTCACCTAGTGAGGTGAGAACGTAAGTATTATCCTCATACAATGCAGCATACTTCAATGACATTTTGGTACATATATCATCAAGGTTTCTAGGCCTTGTTTGGGTGCAGAATCACCCTAACACACTAATGAAATACAAAAGGCCCCATAAATGGAAAAAGAAAAAGAAAAATCAAGGATTGTAATCCAATTCTATCTCCTCTACCTATTTGAGAGAACAAAAAAATAAAAAATATGCATAATAATATGAATATAAGAGAAAAAAATCAAACTTTTTTCTAGTACGAAGAAAGAGATGTTTAAACTTACGAAAATGAAAAACTTGTCTTAACTAAGAGTCTGTTTGACGTTGTCGTCTCTTATAATAAGAATATAGTCATTTTCTTCTTCTTTTTTTCTTTGGTAGAATTGCCAAATAAATTTTATTGCATTTGAAAGATCAAATTGCTCTACTAAGTCAAAATCGTTACTAATCACATCCAAAAGAGAAATTTTTTAAAATTAGAAGTGCTTTTATTAATTTATCGAACTGATCTTGTTTCGTTTATTTGTATTCCTCCTTCGATGATTTCAGTCAATATAGTTTTCTCATTGAGGCTGTAAACCCCGAGATATTATTAAGGCGAGGGATGAACAAAATCTAGATCTCTGATTCAAAATTCTCTCGATTCATCCCCTCGCGAGAAATTGTCAAAACATTTGACTCTTCACCCATTCCAACATAAAGAATTAGTCAATCAAATAATAGATAGTAAATGAGTTGACTTGAAAATAAATAATTACTAGTTGTAGAATATTATTCCTGAATAACATACAATGAATCAAAGTTAGCCCGCAAAATCCTGCTCCCACATTTCATTTAATGCATAGTCGTAGAACACCCATGGTCCTTTGCAATGATAGTTACCAAACATGCATAGACTTAATTACTTAATGTGGATGCAATCGAAGTTAGCATAATAGGTGTTGTACTTGTCACCATCCATCGGTTTCTTGGTAAAATGGTCCATGCCAGCGTGAATAACAATTAATTGGTCCAAAAGTGTTAATAATTATAAATACACACACACACACACAAATATAAGATGAACCATTTTTATGCTAAAATGGTGTGGTCTTGGAGATGACAACCAGTTACAGCTGCATAGAAAGGGAATTTCATTCTAATCTTGACAATTCTGGTTACATCACTACACTCGTGACAGTGAAAATTAAATTTGGTTTCTAGGTCATGTTAATTAGTTGAAAATTTAATAACCCAAATATTTATAAAAATAAAAATAATAAAAAAATAAAAAGTTCACCATTTAGTGTAGTCCTCAATTTTAAATCAAGAATGCTGAATAAGTACAAGCTTCACAAGACAACGGCTTTAATTAATTTTAACCTATGCCCCAAGCATTTATAGGGCCCCTAGTCCCTTACCCAGACATGAAGGTCCATATACGTAAAAAAAAAAAAAATATATATATATATATATATATATATATATACATATATATAGGACTACCATTTTAGGATCAACTGCTACCATGCTAAATGTTAGGTAGCCTACTACTAATAATTAGTCATTTGATTCTATTTTCTTGTCACTCTAAAACATTGTATGCTTTTCAAAATATCTTCAACTTTTGGGCACTTACCCTAGAAAATAATATACTTAAAATGGGTAGTTTTGTAATTTTAATAGGAATTAATGCATTAAATGGTATTGTAATTTTAACTGAGAAAAATTTATAAATGCATAGGTCGTTGAAAAACTTAGAACTTAGAATTTTGAAAAAGGACAATAATTTTGAAATTTGGGAATGGCACTATTTTGATTAGAATAATAATGTCGTGCCAGAATCAATTCTTTAAAAGTCAGATTATATTCACAAACGTGACCCTTATGAAATTATTTGCACCAAGAAAAATCGACCTTAAAACTCGATACTTTAAGAGATGCTAAAATTCAAACTAAGTAAATGTTAGGTAGCCTACTACTAATAATTAGTCATTTGATTCTATTTTCTTGTCGCTCTAAAAAAGATTGTATACTTTCCAAAATATCTTTAACTTCTGGGCACTTACCCTAGCTAACAATATACTTTAAATAAGTAGTTTTGTAATTTTAATAGGGAATAATGCATTAAATAGTTTTGTAATTTTAAGCAAAAAAAAAAAAATTTATAAAGGCACATGCCCTTAAAAAGTTAAAATTTTAAAAAAGGACAATAATTTTCAAATTGGGGAATACTATTTTGATTAGAATAATGATGCAGTACCAGAATCAATTTTTTAAAAGTCAAATTATATTAGCAGACATGACCCTTATGAAATTGTTTGCACTAAGAAAAATCAAACTTGAAACTCGATACTTTAAGGGACGCTAAAATTCAAATTTTTTTTCAACTAAGTAAAAATTGAGTTGTCTAGAGCAAGAAATGTTGTCGTCCTTCAATGAAAATTTATGAATACGTGTCTATACATATATACATATATGTGATCACACACGTCTCTCATGAGGTATACGTATAACTTATTTATAAAATAAGGCACATAAATTAAAATTTATGTAACACTTCTAATGACACACAATTATTTTTTTTGGTGCACTAAATTAAGAAATATCAAATGGGCAATAATGTTGAGTTAGTTTATATATGATGAAGCACAAGTAGGGCAGTTGTAATTTACAAACGGAATTATGTGTACAGTTTAGATTGTGGCTGTTAGTTAGTCCAATCAAATTTAGAATCCAATGGGAATAAGTTCGATAGAAGGATCTAATTCTTCATATTCTCACTAAGGTTAGGTACTTGTTCCAACACACACACACACACACACACACACACACATAAAGCACCAAAAAGTTCTAAAGTGAAATGACATCGCTTCATGTGATTAAGCTTGCAAAAAAACAAAGTGCAATAAAGGCTTTTTAGAATAAAATTATGAGAAAATATCCCCAATTTTATTATGGAATTTAATTCCCTTTCCTCTTTGAATAATACTTATGGCACCATAATTTCGATTCCAATAGTATTAATGATTCTTCTTCTTTTTTGTCCTTTTCAAATTTGGGCATTCAAAGATTTACCCGATTAATTCTTGAGACACGTGCAAATCGTCCAAGAGCGGAGCCAACATAAACGTTAGTTTTGTTATATTTTGAATATATAATTTGTTAAATCCCCCCCGCCCCCCAATTATTTTTATCTAAAATATATTTAGTTACATGTTTATATATATATATATATATATATATATATATGCCCTCTTACTTCTTCAAATTTCTTTTTGTTCTCTTCAAAAAAAAATTGATTTGGCTTTTTTCAATCAAAACCTAATTTTTCTTTGCAAAATTCTCTCATATTTTCGAGCTTTCAATCAAGCCCGAATTTTAATTTTTTTATTTTTATTTTGGATAACCGGATATTTAAGGTTTTGGCCTGACTAATTTGCGAGACACCATGCAAAGCCGTCCTCTCCATACTCATTGGATAAAGTTCAGGCTTTCATCAACAAGTGTGACAGAACTGCTTGCATCCATTTAAGGAATTCAAATCTTAGATATCTAATTCATGTTGCAATTTTAAAGGTTAATAATAGATATTCATTTATA